TTTTTTTGAGAGGTTTTTGCTATAGGGCACACGTGCTCGCCAGAAAGACAGAGAGACAGAAAGACAGCGGGAAATCACCCCCCAGGGGAGATGGCCACGCCGCAATCCCTTCTCCTCCATTCTCCTCTTGGGATCTTGGGCATGCATGCACATGTGCCCTGTGTGATTTTAAGCCACTGGGTCTGGCACTTGAACCATGGTCGGCTACATGGGAGCCCAGTGACATAGCCATTACACTAACTGCTGGTCCCAGTATTTTCTATTCTCAACACAGTGGTCCTGTTAAAATGTAAGTGAGATCATTCCTCTGCTCTGAATTGTCCAGTGGCTCCTGTCTTGCTCACTAAAAGGCAGAGACCCTGCATTGGCATACAAGGCCCTCTGGCTTTAGCCTCTGCTTCCTGTCATTTCATCCCTTGATTTTCACCTCTCGCTGACCCTCTAGACCTTATATTGTCCTTGCAGTTCTCAGAAAATACTATATATACTCCTGACTCAGAGTTTTGCACTTTTTGAAAGTGACTTCGTGACTTGCTTCTCAAGTCTGTACTCAGTATCTTTATTTCTTTTTTTTTGTTTTTGGAGAGGTTTTTTTGCTATAGGGCGCGTGTGCTTGCCAGACAGAGAGAGACAGAGACAGCGAGAAATCACCCCCCGGGGGGATGGCCATGCTGCAATCCCTTCACCTCCATTCTCCTCTCGGGATCTTGGGCACGCATGCACACGCGCCCGGCATGAGTTTTAAGCCACCGGGTCCAGGACGCGACCGGTGGACTACGTGGGAGTCCAGCGACATAGCCTTACGCTAACTGCTGGTTCCTAGTATCTTTATTTCTTAACCTTCACAGCCCTATTTAGAATTAAGCCCTTCCCAGATAACCCTCCTGCCTTTAGTTTTCTCCACAGCCCTTTTACCTTGTAATGTGATGAACAATGTTTCTTAATTATTTTATCTGATGTCTTTTTCTTCTCACTAGGGTATAGGCTTTATGAGGATAGAAGTTGTTGTTTGTTCTGTTTCTTAAACACCTAAAATAGTTAGTGAGTGACACAGTAATATTCAGTTATATTTGATAAATACTCTGGGTTACAAGTCTTTGTGTGTGGGTTTTTTTTTTTTTCTTTTTACTATAGTGCCCATGTACTCGCCAGAAAGACAGAGAGAGAGATACAGAAAGCAAGAAATCATACCCCAGGGGGGATGGCGACGCCGCAATCACTTCTCCATCCTCCTTTCAGGATCTTGGGTAGATGCACCCAGCGTGAGTCTAAGCCACCAGGTTTGGGATTCTAACCGGGGTCAACTACATGGGAGTCCAGCTACATAGCCATTTTGCCATCTACTGGTCCCCCCTCCTTTTTTTAAAGGTACTTTCACAGTCTTTAGTTTATTGCACACAAGGACTTAAATAGAACTAATGATCATAGGCAGACACGTTTCTGAGTAGGCATCCCTTCTCCAAAAAATGGAGCTTGAGTTCTATAGTATTAGACCTGGGTTTGCGTTCAAAATTGGCTATGTGTGAGCTCTTCTGTTCCTCAGTTTTCTTATCTGTAAAATGGTTACACTAAGTATTGTGGGATTCTAGTTCAAACTAAAATTGACACTATAGGTAAAGGATTTAGGACCATTAATGTTAGCCTTGTGGTTTCTCATTGTTGTCATTTGGGAGACAGTTCACACTTTATCATGAAGCAGCCCATTCAAAAGTGTTTGTTTTATGGAAGAGACATACAGGTTCCCGTGACGGCCCCACCATACCACAGTGCCCCTGACGCTGTGTTCAGGTCTACTGGGTTCTGAAACAGAGGCCTCCCCATGCCTTCAGAATTGTACAGCAATATCCCATGTCCTGCATCACCACAGCTGGATCTGTTTTTTTTTTTTTTTTTTCCCAGAGAGTTTTCTTTGGGTTGCTTTAGGGTGCATGTGTTCACTGAAGAGACAGAGAGAAAAAGCGAAAAATCACCACCTGGGGAATGGCCATGCTGCAATCCCTTCTCCCTTCTCTCAGGATTTTAGACACACACACACATGCTCCCAGTGTGAATTTTAAACCTTCAGGTCCAGGACTTGAACTGGGGTCGTCAGAGTCCCACAATATAACCATTATGTCATCTGCTGGTCCCTTGTTTTCTTTTTAATGAAAGATAGAAATGTACCACTCCTATAACTTCTTCCTGGACCCTGGGGCATCATGGATGAGAATTACTATTATTATTTTAAGTTCATTTATTTCTTCAGAGAGAGAAAGGAGAGAAAAATAGCACCCCAGCAGGATCCTGACCTTAGGGTCCACCCCTGGTTTCATTCATCCTGGATCATGGGCACAGATGTGCCCAGCATACTCAGGGAGGTCTCTGGACTTGACCTGAAAAACTCCCCATGCGAGATTGCCTCCCAGAATGTCACATTTTACCCTATACCACTATCTGGCTCCTAGTTTTCCTTTACATTTATTCAATTAACATTTATTCAGTAATT